ATGGGAAAATTAAAACCCATTTTGTCCCCATTTTCAAGAATCACTGAAATAATAATTATAACCTGATGGTCAAACTCCTTCTGGTTTCTGGTAAGACAAAGCAGGTAAAGAAAACATCTACTTTCTTCTTGGAGTAACATCTGAGGGACAAAATCTTTAAAGCTGCAGTATATAACCTCTATAAAATATAAAATTGTTACATATTTGTTAACTACCACCAGGCTGTGAGAGTATGAGACAGATAATGTGTTTTCCCTGCTGCCTTCTTAAGAAATGAACCGCTCCTGGTCAGAAACAGTCAATCAAAGCCAGGATGAGTGCTTCAGTGCTGTCAATCAGTCTTGTGAACATGCTGCTAAATGTGCTAATGACAGAAAAACAATTTGGGCACAGGCTGATTGACAGCACTAAGACCCGCCTCATGGCTCTGATTGGTTGTTAAGTTAGCACTGAGAGAAAGCAGAGGAGCTCGATTTATGTATTTCTTTTTTTTTTTATTTCACAGATTATCTGTTTTACACTATATTGCCACAACATATAAAAGTTACATACTGTACCTTTAAAGCGGGACCAGAGCTATTGTCTATCAAAAAATTAGAAATCTAAACAGATCTTTGCTTCTTCGTCACAAGGTCTCTTAAATACAAGGCTGAAGTTATTTATAGCACACTCAGATAATAGGATATTTTATAAACACAGTGTGAAAATCTATACAAGGACACTGGCCTTGTCCAAGTTTTTCTTTCGAGGTAAACATAGTTGCCTTGTTTCCATCTCAAATTCAGCTTTTCTTGGGTCTCTTGCTCTAAACCTTTGTACATGTGATCTGAAGAAGGCATGAGGTTGGCACATGACTCTAATTCTTTTATGTTGTGTTTTAGTATAAATATATAGTATAGGATAAAGTTACTAATTTGAGTAAAATAGCACTTGGCTAATTAGCAAGAGCAACTTGAGGTTTCACTACCTACCCAAGATGTTATAAAACATATCCATCTTTTTGGATCTGGTCATGCTCTGGAGTAATTCTGAGAATGTGCTTCAAAGCTTGCGTTTGATCTTCCTATACCTTAAAAGGATATGTGGTAATTTCCTACACAGGTCAGGCTTTTTTTTGTTGTTTTCCTAGATTTTCCATCTCTAATTTTAGATGCCTAATATTTGACATGACTGTCGGTGCAGTAGTAGTCGAAGGTTTATGAAAAAGAATGAAGTCTTAGATTAATATTGTACTTTGTTCCTCTTAATACAAATGCTTTGAAACTTTAAAAGAAGAGACAAAAAGGTTTGGCCAAATATTCGGTCTGTCTGCTTTCAGAAAGAGGAGTGATGGAAAAAGATACTTTAGAGAAAGTAAGATGACGTTTGATCTGCGGTTTGCTGTAAAGCAAATAAAAGACAGCAAACACATGACAGAGGATGGTCCGGTCAGACGAGACATAAACCAAACATTTGGGCCTATAAAAGTAGTGCTACATTTTGCAGAACACACTGTACATGAAGCATGGTTGGGGCAGCATCATGTGGTCATCAGAATGTTTTTTTTTGTTGTTGTTTTTGTTTTAGCATTGAAATGAAAGGTTGTAATTGAGTACAATTAGGAATCTGTGTCAAGATTTGAGTATTGTTCAGATGCATTTTCATCTCATCTGAACTGGATTCATTATTCAGCACATAGATGTGCAAATCTGATAGAAACACACCTACAATACTTGCAGCTATAACTGCAGCAGAACATGCTGCTTTAAAATAAGAAAGAAGACACTGAGGACACAATCCACTTTTTTCCTAAATTATTGGCTTTTATTTATTTATGTTTAATTTATTTTATTTTATCCATTATAATTGCTTATTTTTTAGACTACTGCAGCCCTTTTAGATTATAAAATACAAAGGATATTAAAAATAAAATCTATTGTTATTGCTTCTTAGAGGAGCTGATGACAAATGCTTTTTTTTAAGAAATGCAGCACCCATCTACAATCTTCCATGCATACTTTGTATTGGTCTATTACACCAAATATTTGCAAACTTAAGGCACACGACTTGATATTTTGTTGAAACAACACGAATGTGCAACAATTTACGCATTTATTGTGGCGTTTAACTGGTAGAATTATGTTTAAAAAAAATCATTAAAAGGCATTAGGTTTGATTAGCTGATTTCAGTAGAAACCTTCATGGTAATTACCAGGCATTACTTTTTAAGCTTTTCAGTCAGGAAAATGAACACATTTTGGTAAATTAGCCTGCCATCAGTCTGCCAACAGAGCCACATGCTTCTGCTAGGAGGGCAGGTCAGCTGGGTCACCCTGTGCTCCTCTAATAGACCGGCCATTAGTTTTGAGCACTGCTAATGCTGTTTTCTCCTTTTAGTTCAACACTTCTTCCTCAGGCAGATTGTAAATCATGCTGTCATGCTAACTAGCCAAGTGATCAAGAACTAATATTTTAGCTACTGATCAAAACAAAAAGCAATTTATAAAATGCCTTCCACCCAGGTGGTGTACTCTTGGCTGATTTTCCTACTTTTTTTTTAAAAAAAGTCTTTTTTTAATCATTTTGCTTCACAGCAGCAAAAGTATTATAAAGACTGATATTTGGTTGATATCAGTCAAGGTTTGACTGTGGCGAAGTTGTGACAGTATTTGAATCTTACGTGTGTGTGTGTGTGTGCGCGTGTGGACATGCGGATGTTGACAAACTTCTAATTGCTGAAAGCTTTAAATGTGTCTTCATTATGTTGCAGTTTTGGTCAAAACAATTCAAGTAACTCCATGTGTTTCAACCTTTACAGTTGGGCTGAAACAATTAATTGACTCAAAAAAAAAAGAGGCAAACTAGTGAAACAAACAAACACACTCAGAGGGGTATTTAAGCCAAAACAGTACAGATAATACAAATACATTTTGCATTTAAGATAAAAACAACTCTGTCTGTAAATATGTTTTAGCCAAAACTCCTCAAACTTGGCACAGTTTCCTCAAATTTGCTGTAATACAGGCGGCAACAGGAGCTATTTCCTGCCGCAGCCTTCTCCATCTACAATAACTCTTTGAAGAAGTTTGAATTATAATGAGTTATAACAACATTTAATTTCCTTTTGAGATCAACAAAGTACTTTTAAATTTGAATTGTTGTAGCTTCACCCGCTTCAGATTCACTAAAGGAAAGCTTATGTTTTTGCATTTTGGCAATGCAGTTTTTATTTTCTGTATTTAAAAAATTAATTAGGCCATTTATTTGCATCTTTCAACTTGTTTCTTGTATTGTACTAAAAAGGTTTAAGTGATTAAATATTTATATTTAGCTGTAGAATTTGGCATTTGTTCTATCAGATTAATCGTGAGAATAACTGATTAATCCATTACTAAAATAATCACTGGTCGCAGCCCTACTTTACAGCAGAGTATTTTGGCCATGAGCAAATAATATTTCACTCTTCATAACTTGTAGACTTCTGAGAAGCATCTCTTGCTGAGTGTTTTTCTGTCCGAGAAGAATGGAGGTATGTCCTCTGTGTGTAGTTGATCCCGGCTGCCAGCTGCTCTCTTTCCATACTTTGCAGCAGATCCTCTGACGGTATCAAGTAGCCAGGCTCAGACATGACTTCCATGTGAGGAAACTGGCTGCATCGACAAGAGCAGGATTTCCTGTGTGTCTTAAAGCTCCTCCTCTCTGGTGGGAGATGGCAATAAGCGTAGCCGCCATAGTGCTAATTCACCCACATTTGTATATGAATCAGAATTTGGTTGTAGTGTTGCAGACTTGCATCCTGAATGGAGACGAGGACTGCGTTAGCTGTGAGGGATGTTCATAAGCCAGTTGGCAGGCACACTTATGTAAGATGTAAATATTTTCATATATGCTACCATTTCCTGGTAAGATGAAAAAAAAAAAATCCAGCTTTGCCTCGTTAGCTCCGCTCTAACTAGTTACAGTTAGGACTGAGATACAGTAGCAGGAGATTTTCTCTGTATGTTGCAGGTTGTTTGAATAATTGCTGAAGTGTGGTTAAGGTCAGGATTGAGTTAATTAGCTGGTCTGCCAACCAGCCACATTTTCCATAGCTGTTGGTCTGGATCAGCTTTCATTTGTCTGCACTTCTCTGCTGACTCTGTTGTTCTGTTTTAATGTGACTGGGCAAGACTGCTGCTCCCTAGTGACCAAAAGAGGAAATTACACCACTATCACAAAGAAGATTCAAATAATAATTTTTTAAGACATTACCTTCCGTAATTATTACATCTATCAAATCTTTAATTTTGGAGACAATTGTGATCAGTATTTTGTCAAATTTTTAAAATGATGGCATAAGTCACTTTTTTGCCAAAAGCGGTTTTTATTATCTATTTTTAGTTTTTTACCTAGATCATCTTCTGATAATAAAAAGGAGATGCTTTCTACTTTTTTTTTTTTTTTTTTTACAAAATCACTTTTGGCATAAAAATGGTGATGATTTGCAACTTACTTAAATATTTTTGAAAGCAAAACTTTATGCACAAGTTTTGTTTGTGTGTTTTTTTTAAGTACTTGCTTAGAGAATATAATAGACATAAAACCTAACTCATGAATCAAAGAGCATAGGCGTATTTGGAATCACACTGTGCTATTCTGAGGCTACTTACTGACAGCTGCTGCCATTTCTGGCTCTCCTCTTTCTGATGTCACTTTATTGTGAGCAGCTTAGCAGCTGAGCGCGCTGCTCTGCTTTTCCACGTCAGCCATTGTTTCCAGTGATGCAAGGCTGATTCACTGCTCACATTCCACACCAAGGTGGCACTCACATGCCTCAACCTGGATGTATACAATTACACCAGCACTCAAGGTTTTTATTGTTTTTTTTTTTTTTTTTTTTTGAAAACTTCCATCGTTGGCTTGGTTTTTAAGAAGAGTTAAATGGAAATTAACTTTTTTCCTGTTTGCCCCTGATCCTGCGTTAAGGCTACAGATTGCCCAGGAGGAGCATCGGACAGTTGAAGTGGAGAAGGTGAACCTGGAGCAGAAGCTGAGAGACGAGATAAACGCTGCAAAGCAAGAAGCTCAGCGACTGAGAGAGCTGCGAGAAGGCTCCGAGAACGAGCTGAGTCGGCAGAAGTATGCAGAAGAAGAGCTGGAACAGGTACCATCACTCTCATCCATGAGGCTCAGGTTAGGTTTAGTTTTACCATATTTTACAGGTCCAACGCAAGGGACTAACAAAACAAGTGTTTTTTACTCACTTGTATTCAGGACAGGTGTTAGTTTCCGATTCCTGTAGTGTAAACATGATTTATATTCGCTTTTCATTCTTCAGCTTAATTTTTTAAATGCATAGCAATGATTAAGTAATTTCACATTTCTACTCCACAACAGTAAAGGTGATAAATACAGAGACTCATATTTTATCATAGTGACCTTTCTACATTGACGCCAGATGCAACTCTGATTTAATAAAATCATTCAGGTAATTAGGAAATCATCTCCAGATGTCCTTTTTGTACAACAAAGTTCCCTGGCACAAGCTGGCAACCAGCTTCTACATGCTATGTTGTGGCAGGACATGTGGAAAATAGTAATAATACAACTGTACATCTTTTTGTGGCATTAAAGGAAATTTAAATTAGGTCATGGTCCTAATTTATCAAAAAAAAAAAAAAAAAAAAAAAGGTAGTAAGTGATCATTTTTATGGCCATTTCTGGATGTATCAGTCATGTTCAGGAAGTTAGGGTTTTCTGAACTAAACAGATTATTTTTTTTTTTTTTGTAATTCAGTGATGATTCACCATTTTATCATTTTTGTCTTCCAAGACTTGTTGTGAAGAAAAAAAAACAGTTCAAGAAGAGGCAAAACCTAAATATTATAGGAAAATATTCAAAATTACAATCCTTCATCAGTTGATCATACATCTATGAGATATAACCATTAAAAATAAAAATAATAACATATTTAGAAATGAGTGGGAAATTGAATCAAATCTGTAACAATAACTAATAACAATTACATGTCTTTAAGTACAATTTTAAATAATTTACAGAAGGCCAGGCTTTCACTGAGTCGTTCCAGTGTTTGAAAAAAACTACTGGTCTGATGAATGAAACTGCAAATTTGATTGAAAATAATGAATGAAATGCATTGGTATTTTGTTTTGGAAATGAAGCCGCAAATTAGAAAAATGGTAATGTTCTAAATGGTAAGAATCTGTAGTCCCTTAAACAGAGGAGCAGAAGGACAATTAGAATCTGAAGTAAAAGAGGTAAACCCAGCAGTTCTGGACTGTTGTACATTTTAGCATCAATGCAGTTCAAAGTGCTTTTTACTATAAAAACATAATACAGTTACCAATTATGAAACAAGCAACAAATATTATCATCAAGTAAATATATATGTCAAATATAATAATTAGTGCTCCAGTTATAACATCACCTACACAAATTGATATAATTGGTATTGATAGATGTGTTTTGGCTGTTTTGTAGTTTTCTGGACATTTGTTCCGGATTAGTGGAGCATAAAACTAACTAAATGCTGCTTCTCCATGTTTGTTTCTGGATCTGAAAGAGTGTGATGACATTTTGATCAGTGCAGTTCTTCAGAGCGTTGCACATGGCAGTGCGGTTTATTGTCCTTCAGCGTGATGAAACAGGACCTCATTCAACACTTCTGTTATTTTAATTCTCGTCTTTGGCCAAGTGTGCAGTTCAGGCTCCAAGAAGTTACACAACATTAAGAGACTTTGTGAGAGAACCCAGGATTCAGGTTTTTGTGCCTTTTACTAATCCTCTGTTGTAATATTAGCTTTTTGGAAACTGACAGATGTTTTCTTTTCCATGCACTATTTCTCCGTTAGTCGAATTATTTGTACAAAGTCATCAACCCCATGAATAAAAGCAGACCTGGCTACTGACATATTCCCCAAAAACCAGACTGGGAGAGGCTAACGTTTGGTTTAATGAGTCGCATACCAAACTTGTCACCCAACTATTCTTGGCACGTTAATTTTAATGGAATAAAATCTTATATTTATTAAAAACCTCTGTTTAATTTCGCAGAAATTAGAAAATTGTACAACAATAAACATTAGTTGTTTCCAGATTGTTGTTGTTATTGTATTGTTGTGCTATATTTAATGTCTTAACCTTGTTGTAGGTGCGCATGGCTCTAAAGAAAGCTGAGAAGGAACTGGAGTCTCGGAGCGGGTGGTCTCCTCCAGAACCTCTTCAGAAGTGGTTGCAGCTCACCCACGAGGTCGAGGTGCAGTACTACAACATCAAGAAGCAAAATGCCGAACGGCAGCTCCTGGTGGCCAAAGAAGGGGTGAGCGCAACAACAGCCTCAGTAGAATTTATTGCATTTGTTTTTTAAATGATGATACACGGCAGACCAGGTGAATTCTACAGATTAGTGCCTCTAAAAAAATAAAATAATTCAAGCTTTATTCTCAGATTTTTCACCTTTTATTTTCTTCAGAATTATGACTTCTGATTATTATTTGTTAATTATGTTAGCAAAATAATCACAAACATTTCTTATTATAGGATTCCTAAACCTGCACATTATACACACTGAAGGCCAACCAAAATTTATTTGGTAGATTTGAGTTTTAAGACCAGATTTGCCAGAATTGTTTTAACTGTTCAATAAATCTGATTCAGAGGAAAAAACCCAAAATTCTTTTATTTTTTCCATTGGCCCTAATCCTCTTCCATACAACTCAGACCCATTATCCTAATGGGACCAGAACCAGCAAAAATTATTTGCTGGTTCTGTTTCTTCAGTACAGATATAAGAGATAAATTTCATCTTAACATATAGTGAAAATAGAAACTAAGCACTAAGTTTTGCTTTTTGTTTCACAGGCAGAAAAGATCAAGAAAAAGAGAAACACTCTCTTTGGGACATTCCATGTGGCTCACAGCTCCTCACTGGATGATGTGGACCATAAAATCTTGGCTGCAAAGTGAGTCAGAGTGAACAACAGTACAGAAAAATTAGAGAAAATATCTTGGAGGTTGTTGTGCATCATTATATATGTGTTTTTTGTAATATTTCCTCAGACAAGCGCTTGGTGAGGTAACCGCCGCTTTGAGGGAAAGGCTGCACCGCTGGGAGAAGATTGAGATCCTCACAGGTTTTACTATCGTCAACAACCCGGGCCTTCCCTCACTGGTCTCCACCCTCAACCTCGACACCAGCTTCATGGGCGGCAGGGCCACACCGCAGCACTTCGTCATGTCTGACGACATGGACGACTTGGACGAAGGCATGATGTCTGCTGGAATCCTGCAATGTAAGGGTTCATTCGAATCTGTTCCCCAATGTTCGGGGATTAGCAAACGACTCCCTAAACAGCCAAAGACTGTGGTGGGGAATTGAAAAGAGAAAACAAAATCAACCCACATGACAAATGGAGAAATTGCCTTTTTGCCTCAATCTCGCACTGGTGATGGAGGTGGTGTAGTAATTGTTTGTAAATAATTGTTTTCAAGACCGTTGGATTTGTTAATGTACTTTAACTGTCTTGTTTTTGAAACAGTTGCAGTTTGCATGATTTTTGTACCTTTCAGAATTTTTGGTCTAATATGCTATCTATAGTGGCATATTAGGGTCAATGTAGATGGAGGAAAGAAAAGTACATTTCTGCCAAAAAACAATTGATATTTTTAGAATAAGGTCAGAAATGTTCCACAAAAAAAAAAAAAAATCTTTTTTAAAAGTTGTTTTTTTGCTAGAAATGTTTAGATTAATCTATGGAATTTTCTAGAACTAATTTGGAAATTTCTGAGTTTCAAAAGTCAAAAATTTAACTCTTCAAGTTGAAACTTGTCCTTTTTTCTAGAGAATTTCTGAGATCTAAACATTCCTAAGTTTTTTGGTGGAAATGTTCTCTATTTCTATCTACAGTGGCCCTAACACGCTGTTGTAGATTTCCGAGCACATGTTTTATTAACCTTTTTCCGGGCGGTACTGATTTTCAGCAATTCCGATTTCACTTTAGAAATTGTAATATAGGAAGAGTAGCCATAATTTTTTTTTTTTTTTTGTTCACCAGTTTTTTTCTTAACTATTGCCATTACTGTTGACATTAGAAGCAGAGACAATGTCTCTAAGAGATGTTACCACAGCCTGGAAGCTCTCAGGTACATAGACAGGGATGTACACTGTCCGGAAAAAAAAACAAAAAAAAAAACATCTGATTGTTTTTATTTTATTTTTTATTTTTTTATTTTTTTTTGTTTCCTGGCCACTCAGAGGTCAGGGCCACTTTCAAATGGTGCATCTCTATCTTTGTTTTTGTTTTACACAATTTCTTAATGTTCTAAGTGTTAGTATTATTTAGTATTATTAATACTGAGGCCTTCTGTGACTTTTTTTTATTGAAAACTGAATTGTTTAGAAAATATACTTCTTCATAAGAACAAGTTTTTGTGTTGATATTTTAATGTATCCTGCAGCAGTGTTCAGTCTGCCTTTGTGGCAGATTCCAGTGTAGTCATCACTCACATCCTACTTTCCATCACATTTCCGTCTATGCCTCTAACATTTTCTGTGTGATATTATATTCTTTTAGAACACTCCTCTTACATTTCAGCCTCCCAAACCACTGCAGTGTTTTGTCATGTTATTTAAACTTTTCTAGTTACTACTTAGACAAAACATTAAGCATTAGATCATGTGTTTTAACACATGCAAGTCTTTTTATCAATATTAATTGCACTCCCTTTCTCACTCCCCCCTTTTTTTTTTTTTTTTACACACCACCTTGGTTTCTGTTTTGCTCCCAACACTTTCCCATTGGCCTCACTTTAGATGGCACACTGCAGCTGAGGCGGCGAGTCAGTGACCTGCGGCTCAGTGCTTCTGATTGCCAGTTCATAAGGAAGTATTCTGGTTGGCAATCTCAGTCTTCAAACTGCCTTTCCCTTTGATCCGTCTGTAATTGTTTTTACCTGTATGTTTTAGGCCACAGCTGAATGAACAGCCAATGCTGTTCATCAGAGAACTCTACCAATACTTCCTTAGTTCCTGCTCGCCACATGAACTCCCATCTCCATATGTGGCTTTTACCCGATTCACTCCTGTAGTTTTGTCTCAATAACATTCAAAAAGTTTCAGTTTTACTTATTTAATATTTTTTCTTGTTTGGAAAACACGATAAATATATTCTGTAATTTTCCTCTGATGCATTATTAAGGCATTTATAAAGTTGTTGCACAGTTTGAATCGGTCTTCTTGCGGGATGTAGCTATTTATGGGACTAATTGTGATTAATTCAAATAAAAAATAGTTATTGATTAAAAAACTATTTAATTATTGATAGTTGTAAACTAATTTAGTAAATTTTACTACTAAGTTGGTAATAAAATGTACTAATTTTGAGTAAATTTGTAATTAAGTGATTTTATTTTTTTAGTATAAAGACTCAAAAAGGTTATTTACTGAAAAAAATAGCATTTTTATTTACACTCAGAGCAGTGATTAAGCCAAAACTGAATAAACAATACATCCAGTTTGCATTTTAGATTAACAAAAAAAAAACCTTTGTCTCGACATAAGTTCTAACAAAAAACTCAAGTTGTTTAGTTGTAGCTTCACCTGGTTCAAATTTTGTTTAAAAAGAAAAGTCTCCTATTAGGCACCTTTTCTACCCAATTATTAATCGATTAATAAAAAAAATAAATCTTTTTCTCTTTTTGCATTTTTTTTGATCTGTAAATGCATCAAAACTAAGAACTTACTATTTTCTGTTAATGCATCAAATACAATCATGCTTTTTTTTTGCCAGTTTAATAAAAAATCTGATAAATGTAAAGGATTTATTCCCTCCCTCACTCTTTATTTCCATCCATTCGCCAGCATCCCTCCAGAAATATCTTCCAGCCCTAATAAACCTTTGAATTAAACAAAAGTCTAAAAATAATAAATGTTTAGAATTTATGTATTAATCTTGTTTGGATTACAAACTTTTTGCTTCCATCAAAGAACCTGCAGAAACCATCTTCTCTCTATTTTCTGTTTTATTTGATGAATCTGCAGGTTGGACCTAAAGAAAAAAAAGAAGAAATATTTATATCGGCCAATAATGGCCTTACTGGTGCATCTCTGAGTAACATCCCAACAATCTTTTCCTCTGTTAATTTTTTCTCTTCTTCCCTCCTTTATCAAAATCTCTCCTGTTAGTGTTTGCTACTAATGCTGTGGCTTTTCCCTGCAGCTCCCAGTATGATGTCCCTGCGCCAACGCCACATTGACCCCCAGCTGGCTTTGGGTTCCCAGAGGTTGGTAGAGAGTTCCCTGCTTGCGGGGCAGCAGGGAGAGGGCAACCCTTACCCGTCTAAGCCTAAGCCTGCCTTCAGACAGTCTCGAAGTCATTCGTTCGGGCAACTCGAATGTCTTCCTCTGCAAACTCTCTCCTCAGCTGTGTCTCACCCGTCAGTCATCTGCTCTTTCAACCCGATCCCTCAGTCTGTGCCGTCCTTGTCCTCTTCCTCCTCCTGCTTGCCCAGCACCTTTGCTGGCGGTTTTGCCCTTCATTCCTCCCATGTACATCATGCTACTTTCCAGCCCATGGACCCAATTCCTGATTATATCTCCAAAGTTCGCTCCTCATGCAACGACAGTCTCGGGTACCCATCTCACTCTACACTACGCATGTGTGTGGTCCTTTTTATTCCTTTATTTTTCTAACTACTTTTGTTTGTTTTTTTTTTAACATTTCTTTCAAGACTGTCACAATTTCAGGGTTGGGTTTTGTCACTCAGTAGTTGAAGCCATTGTGTATACCTCTTAAAGCAGTTACTCTCTCCTGTGCTCCTGACATTCATTGCCTTCCACTATTAACAAGCGTGAAGTTCCACTACACAGGCTTCGCTCAGCATGCTGCTTTGCAGACATAGTGCAGATGAACCTAAGCATGGAATTAGGGCTGGGCGATAGATCGGTTTTTATCGATTATTCTATTAAAATAGGCTTTTGAAGATTAGATTTTTGGAAAATCTTTAATTTTTTTCACCATTGGGTTCATTGTGTTTCCAAAGTTCAGAGTGTTGTCAGCACAGCCAAGTCCGCAATCTTGTTTGACAAACATACTTCTGTTAATTTTTACTTTAGGACCTATTAGGACCAGGCTACTTTTTTCTCCTTATTTACAAGAATAAAGTCATATGATTATGAAAAGAACACAGTCGTAATCTTTTGAAGATGAAACAGTAATTTTATGAGAACCCAACATTAAAAATAAAAAATTCAAATGGTAATTTGGTATTAGATTTACAGATAAGGAAATACTTAATCTTTTAACACGTCGGCGTCAGATTATTGTCATGCAAACAAGTCTATTTCGAATAAAGATCTACACAAACTGATCAGATCTTGCTTACAGAATGAATTTTTCTCATTAAAATTACTTTTTTTGTTAGTTTTAAGACGTTCTGGTAAAATTGTGCCTTTATTCTGCTAATATTGAGGTTATTCTTGTAAATACACCACAATTCTCAAAGCCTGGGCCTAATGCGCTGTTGTAGGGATGATTTACATAAAAATCACCTTTTGAAAATATTTTGTCATTTGTAATTTTCTTCTTTGAAAATATAATCTGGTAAGAAAAAAAAAAAGATGGATGCACCGATTACAGTTTTCTGCCCAGTCACCGGTCTTGTCTGAAATGTTGCTAGAAATAGCCACAACCCTCTCTCATAGTAGAGCAATAGAGGATAGTGGCTGATTTTTAGACCTGCTTTATGATCAGCTTCACATTTAAGTATCAACCAATCATCGATCTCCCAAAATTAAGAAAATCGAGGCCAATTTGTCAGTGCATCTCTAAAAAAGATTTTATTTTTAAGCCATTTCGCCCAGCCCTACCTGGAATACATGCATACATTATGAAACCTTTGCATATTTCAAATCCTCCTGTCCCCCCCCACCCACCTCTAATTTTTGTATTTTACATTGGGCCCCCCTGCAGGGAATTGAACCGCTCCGACTCCGACTCCTCTTTGTCCCTCTCACAAGTTGGCGATCGGCTCTCGGCCTACAGTTCCAAAAGCCACCCGATTAAGCCCACCTCTCTGATGTACGGCCTCTCCGGCCGGGCGGACGACACCATCTCCCTGCACTCCAACGGAGGGAACCGGATTTATGACAGCAGCACCGCGGAGAACGTCTCCGGAAGCCCTATCCTCATGAAGGAGATCCACCACATGGAGAAGTCGCCCAGCCTGGGAGAGATCAACAGCTTCTCTGAGTCTTCCCGATCTTTCAGCCCCAACTCGACCGAGCCGGATACGCCGTCTCCGACGGGTGGCCAGGCGGGAGCGGTGGCTGCGGGGGGTAAGGGCAGCACTCGCATCCCACAGCTGTCCTCCAAGAAGAGTCCTCTGGAGGAGGACAGCTGCTCTACGGGAGAAGATACAGATTCTGCCGTCATCCGCAAGAAACATCCCTTCAAAATCTTCAAGAAGCAGAAGAAATGAGCAACATGAACCAAAAGGCTGTCAAAGCTGCTTGACTGTATTTCTCTATTTGTCTTTCTTCTTCTTTTTTTTTCTTCTTCTTCTCCTTCTCCTTTTTCTTCTTCTTTTTGTAATATCTTGGGTTTAATTACAGTCAAAAAGATGGCACAATTTGCCGATGTTGCATTTTACGTGTATGTTCCGACGCCTGCATTGGACTGTGTGAGCAACCCACCGTCTGGCTTCCACTGCTCAATGGTCCAGCATTTGAAGCGGAGCGCGGCGGGGTAGGTCTGTACAGTGGAATGTAAAGTATTATTTATTCCTGCAAGAAGTTTTTTTTTTTTTTTTCCCCCCCTCATTCTACAATCTGACATTTTGCATGTCTTCACTTTTGTTTGACTGATATGCTCTTAGTGTTTGCTTGGTTCGTGTTGTTATCCAGCGTAGAAAACACTCGATGTTACTTTAATTACTACCTAGCTGTCTAACCTACGAATTCAAATGAATGCACACTGTTTATTGTGTTTCGTTCCTCTTTTTTTTTTTAACTGGCAAGTACAGATTTTTCTGTCATTTGTTGTCAAGAAGGGCGAATATATACATTTAGGGGAACTTAAAACACAATAGGATAAAATTAGAAGTTTGGCTACACCAAAATGTTACTATTTAGACACAGTGTAACAGTAAAGACTTGTAGATGGAATTCACAAGAAGAACATCTGCTAATGTTATAAAACGTCAATCACATTTTAGGGTAAGGGCATTTCTTTTTTAATGTTAAATACTTGTTCAATCTGTACAATTTTGGAAAGGTGCAGGATCTCTGTTCTTTTTCTTGCTTTAAAGTCCAGCTTTATTAAACGATAACCACAGATTTAAAAAAAAAAAGTATTCAATTAATTGAAACCTCCATATGCATCTCATATAAATTAAATTAATATTGAAAAGTAAATCCAAAACATTTAGTTCAAGAAGTGATACGATCTAAACGGGGATCATTTTGAGCAATTTGTTTCTGTTAATTTCAGCATTATTGTTTCCAGCTAGTGAAAATCCTAAATTCTGTATTTGAGAACGTAATGTCTGCATATTACATTTGATAAATGTAACAATTAAAACAGAAATGTTACATCATGGCCAACACGATTGAGAGGAAGAATGTTCAAGATATGTTCTTTTTTTTTTTTCTCCACCATTTTGTCATTGACCCCACCCAAATGTAGGGTGGAGCCACAAAAGCTAATTGCTGGCTGCTCTCAGTGCTTTATCAAAGCCTGCCAGTGGAAGGTTGAGTGAAAGAAAAAAATGTGGCACCAAATGATGCATAAACAATTTATTTACTTCAAGCTAAAACCCTTTTTGCATCTGGTTCAGGAATTACATAACGCAAGAAATGCACCAGCTGCAACCTGGGACCTGGTTTTGTATGCAAGTAATCTTAGCTTCACAATCTTTAGCAAGATTGCTTCACAATATAGTAACTAGTAGTTATAGTTACTAGGGATAACTAGTAATTATCCCTAGTAACTAGTTCTTATCCTTTATAACTAGTTATCCTAGTACCTCTAGGATAACTAGTAGTTATCCCTTACTAGTAGTTATCCCTTACTAGTGGAGCCTTTTTTCTGACATTATTTTCTTTCCATTTGTTACAGTCAGGTCAGGACTTTGAAGCATTCATTTAGATAAATCAATCACATCCAATTTATGGTCTTTATAAAACTTTGATGCAATTGATCTTTTTACATACAAGGGAACCTTTGTGTTCGTGTGTTTCTGGTACATCCGTAAATCTGACGCACAGCCGACATCTGCAGTCAGCAATGGACGACGAAGCCACTTTTCTTGGCCCTCTCTGGGCTAACATTTGCTTTCAAAAAATGATCTGATGGAATGAGAAGAGTCTGTTGTGCTAGAAGGAGTTAGCCTAACAGTGAAGCTGTTCAAGCCAAAAATAGCTTCTCAGTGCTGGTGATGTCTGTGCAACAGCACAGACATCACCAGTGCCAGCGTCAATGACCACAGTCCACATTTGTGAAGAAGTTCCACGAGTGAAACACTGGAAAGTAGAACAACACTTTGTACCAGTTCAGATCAAAAACAATTGTTATTGAGCTGTCTATTTATTTATTCAATAATTACAATAATTAATTAATTACAGACTCTGCAATTAACTATTAAAAATTTTAATCAAGTCCCACCACTAGTTGGGACTCGAGTTGCATATCGCACTCTGAAGCATATCGTTCAGAGTGCTATATGCTTGAATGTCACACTGAACAGCCAGCTTTGTAAGCAACAATACTTTATTAACGCCTCCTACACAACTGACATTCCTGTGAGTTTTCAGGCCATAGCATTTGTTGTGCTATAAAGAAATACTTGTAGTCAAATTTCTTGAGAAGCTGGATTTAGGGTTTTCATCAGCTATGATTTATAATCATTAAAAAAAAAAAAAAAACAGTTTGAAGAACCAATTGAAATATAGCAGTGTGTGGATGAATTTAATGAACCGATTCACCTCTGCTTTGTAACAGACAGATGAAGGTGATCAGATCAGATCTCACATTTTTTTTCAGTTCTATTAGAAAGGCAAAACTTTAAACTGCTTCTGCTCTTTTCTGTCTTACTGGTCCACCTTTTTTCCCACTTTAGTTCAATGTAACAAAAAAGTAAGTAGTAATAGTTGGTAAGGGCTACTATTACAATATGTATTTGCTTAGCTGAAGAAAAAAAAATGTTACCATTTAAGATGACTTTTTATAAAAGACTACAAGGTGTGGAGGCAAAACAGCCAATCGTGTAAAAGTGCCAAATCTCTGATTTCGTCAGAGGCCTTCATATTTCTGTTGTGTTCGATCCTTTTGACCCCTTTTACCCAGAATCCAGAGCTCCAGGATGTGCGCCGTGCCTGCACGTTCCGAGTTTAGATGCTGAATGTTCCAGGGTATCATTACTGTAACAGTACCGTAGGTACAACGTGTTTACATTTGTTACAGATGAGTTCAATTCTCAGATTATTTACAACACAGAATGTTGTGTCAGTTTTAAATGCAAGTCGCTTGGTTTTAAGCACAGAGCTATGCATCAGTAGTTGTAGTTGATTTCTGACTTAGTGAGGGCGCCGGTTATTTATAGGGCGCTCCTGTTAAATGATCAACCAAAAAGTGCTGCAGAAGACGGTTCATCCCTCCCAGCCTCGGCCTCGTAATGTAACCGGTGGTTTGAATGCAGAAGACGTGTTTCAGTTATTTATTTCAGAGACCAGATTAAAAAAATTCTTACTGGTACTTCTTAGTGTCTTTTCTACCTTTCTCCTTTTTGTTTTGTTTAGTTTTGTTTAGTTTTTTTTTTCCCTCTGCACGACATTTGTAAATTGAAAATGCCATCTGAGTGCGCGCGGGTGTGTGTTCGGGTGTCTGTCTCATCCCAGTATATTGCACTGTAATGTTGATGCATGTCAACTACCATAACAAAACCTATATTGGGTTAAAAGAATGGATTAGCTTCAGCTCTAACCTTGCTACCTGACTTTAATTCTCATTTTTGAGCTTATATTTATGAATACATGCAGTATATTTGTACAGAGAAAAATGATAATTTTGCATCTGTGGTGATCTAGGCTTTGATGGCACTCTTGCATGATAGCAATAAACTATTTTGAATGAAAACAAACTGGGTTTTACTCGTTTGTAATCTGAACTCAGACTTTTTCCATTTTTCTTCAGGAATAAACAACTTCTCAGTCCAACATTACTAAGAACCGTTGTAAACGGCCTAATGTGAAGCACTGTGACAATGTGTAGAAGGCAGAATGTATTTTTAAATAGACAGAGGCCACTTTCAAGGTGTCAAATTGTCAAGTCAAATTTCTTTTAGGTCATGTTTGATATATACAAGGTGCAAGTGTATATATCAAACGTACATATATATACACCTTCAGTATTTTTCAGACCTTGCGCCTGAAAAATACTATCCCCCTTTAATAAAAATTATTTTAACTTGTAGAAAACTTGAGCGAATTGTATTTCAAACATACAGTGACTTACAAAATTATTTTATACCACTTGAGAATTTTTGTCATGTTTATAGACACAAATTCAATTTTTTTTTATTTTTGATTTTCACACAACACCAAAAACAGAAGGGGATTGTAATAATAAACACAACCAACAAATGACAAAAAATGCAGATGGCATTGTGAAATATGTGGACAATCAAAACAGAAAATTAGCAAATAAAACTAAATTAAAAAAAAGTCCACAAAAAAGACAATCTAAATAAATATTAATACTATTTAGTTATTTAGATTGTCTTTTTTGTAAGATTACAAAAATGAGATCATATAAGAGATTACTCTTACATGGCACATGGATATGTTAATAAGTTAAACATGATGTTTGTACAGCTTTCCCTCAGCAGTGGGATTCTTGAGCTTCATGCAGAACTACTGTTTTGTTTGATTTTCTCACCAGAGCCGTTTCCCCCTGCAGTTCCTCCACGGTTACCTCAAGTCGTCTAAACCATTTCTCTGATCAGTGCTCCGCTTCAGTGACCTGTCAGTTGAGGTAGGCATCCATATTTTGGTAGGTTTGTGCTATAGAGGTTGAAACAACTGGATTCATTTTATCAGATATTAAGTCACCAAAATAAGCCAAGACTTTCCAGTAGATATGAATGAAACATCTGTCTGGATCCAGATCTTGAGGAAGGACAAATATCATCACAGTTATCAGGTCTTTACTTGTAAAATACTTAAAATGTAATTTGCTTCCAGTTCATAAGCACTCATTGCTTTGTCTCGGTCTGTCATGTAAAAGGCCTGTAGCTGTAAACTAAATGTGGAAACATGTAAGGGGTGTGAATACTTTGCGGGCTCTGTGGAGAAGCTCTAGTTGTATCTTCTTCAGATACAACTCCTCCCTACTCACCCACACGGTTCAGGTAGTAATTGGGTGGAACTGTGTGCTGTTAAATATTTACCTGTGTTTTAGAGCAGCCAATGTGGAACAGGATTAGATCCGGCTTTTTAGTTTCTCTGCACCAGAAGGTCACTGCCAGCGCTGTGAAACATGACCTTTCATTCATTGTGCAAATGCATCTGCCAGTTCTTTCTCGGCATGCAGGTAGGAGCACGTTTATCTCAAGCATCTCTGTCTTCTTCCCTTTCGTCAGGTGTGTAACTGTGCGTGTGCCGTTCTTCAGATTGTTTGCTGTCTGGACCAGGTGAAGCTCCTGAATCCTCCAGAGGAAGCTCTCCCTGACCATCTCCTGAGAGTTTTCTACTCTTGCGATGGGGCAGCTACCGTACAGGTGGACTGTGTCGTGTCGTTTGAAACGGGCTCAGTCTCCACAGTCTGTATCAGACGGTGGAATTGTGTCCCCGGCGACCCTGTAATAAGGACTGTGAAGCTGAATCTGCCAGACTGGTTGGTTTACCAAGCAGACGGAATTGTTCCGGAGTCCCACAGGGTGCTGAGTTGTTTTCTCCGAGCCTCTGTCAGATACAGTGGTTCTGATGATGCTAAAAGGTTCAAGAG